CAATACGAGGAGGAAGCCCAATGAAAGAGCTATTATGTATGTTGTTAGTATTTTCCACATTTTGGAATAATAATGAAAAGACATAAAAATAGGAGATACTTCATATCGCTACTGTCAGAAGAAAACTTATATCTCCAAAACGATAACTTTACAGGAGAAGGAAAAAACCTACTTTACTTTTAATGTAAGTCAATGGAACCAGAATTTTTCCAAGTCGTTTTGGGTCGTTTCTTTTAATCCATTCATCATGAATTTTACACACAATGTAAAGGGCAACACGCTTTTTCAAATTATGTTAAAAACTAAAAATGACAAAAATATGACAAAGATACAAGGTTTTCCTCCGACATCAGCGATATGGAATGACTCCAGTAAGAAACACTGGCCTTCTACCAAATAAGGCTGTTTAGACCCTCGTCCCTCATCATACTTCAACTCAATGGCTGAAATTCATTATTGAGAACAAAAGTTCTATTAATTATATTTTAACAAAAGGGTAGTAGAACTCTACTTTTTCCAACTGTAAAATTCACAAAGGTGCTACAATCGTTTAAAATTCATTTTTAAAATACTTTAGAAATACACAATGAGAATAAACTTTCAACCACAGAACCTTTGACCACTGGTTCAATGGTTCTTTGGTTCGAAGTGTATTTTCATTGTGTATTGCTATGATTTTTATGTCCACCAGCAAGTGAGCACTCATGTTACATATGTTATGACCCAGTCTAGGGTCAGGCCATAAAAGAATGGTGTGGTGCAAAATGTATGCTTTGTGAATGTGTGTGTAGTGTATAATAATGAGAATGAAACTGCAAATGGTTCTAAATAGCAAATTCAAAGTATATTGTACAACTGTACGGTGCAATCACCAGTTTGTTTCCAGGCCAAGTACTGTGCAAAAAGGCTCCTGTGAAAGTTGAAATTAAAAACAATATATCTGAGCATTTATTAAGCATTTATTTGTTTAGAAAAACACTAGTTTTTTATAATAAGTAGTAGTTTTATGTATGTCAATGTGTTCATTTAACAGTTTCTAAACCGCAGGGAAACCCAGGATTATCTGTAGTTATCATCCAGTACTCGGTTTGTCTAATCAATAGATTAATAGATTGATCTCTATTGTCATTGTTAAAAACAATAAAAACTCATTAAGCAGCTCTAGAATTGACAGCAAGACACGAAAAAAAGAAATAAAGATAAATAAGGCCAAATACATGAACATAAACACAGTAAGATAGTATATACAAACATACTAGTGCAAAATGAAATGATATCCCAGTCTTGGTCTAGTCACAGACTTAGTCTCAGCTTTAGGGAGGAGAGGGAGGGGAGGAGGGACATATACATATGACTGCCTGTGGAAAGAAGCTGTTTTTTAATCTGTTAGTTTTTGCTCTAATCGATCTGTATCTCTTTCCCAAGGGCAGAGGGGAGAACGAGTTATGTCCAGTGTGAGTAGAGTCCTTTGCAATACCGCTGGCTTTCCTTTAGAGTCGGCCAGCGTAAATATAATCAATACTTTATTATGTTAATTCAAGTGTGCTGGTGATGGAATTTAACAAATCTATGCAGTGGCTGGGGACAACGAGGAGACATCTGGAACCAAACTTTGTTCCTCAAACAAGCTCACAAGATATAAACTATCCAAAATAAGAAATGTTTGATACTTTTTTACTTTATTCATGTTTATTTTAGGGGTGGGCAACATGACAAAATTGTATCGTTATTGTGATAAATTATGTCACAAAACACTTTCGGAGCATATGGTGTACATTATCAGTACTTAAAGAACACTGACTGACTAAATTTCATTACAAATTGAGCATAATTAGGCCTGTTTAATTAGACTTAGTGCAGTGCAGCTTGTAAAACACTGAACACAAATCACTGTAGCTCTAGGTTTATTATTATTACTATTATTATTATAATAGTATTTTTATATGTGCCACTACAGGTTCTACTTTGGCTGTTCCAGCATATTAAATCTCAGAAAACTACACTGTAAAAAACATCAAATCAACCTAAAAAATGACTTCATGCAGTAACAAGTAAATGAACTCGTTTGATTTTAATCTAAATAAACACTATGAATGATCGACTCTTTGAATCATAGTCAAGTCAAAGTTTATTCATATAACGCTTTTTACAACAGGCATTGTTGCAAAGAAGCTTTACAGAAAAATCCGGGTCTGAGTCCCTGTACCAAAGTATTTTTTGAGTTGAATAAAACTAGTTCAATTGCTTGTTACTACATTAACTAAATTTTTTAGGTTGATTTGACGAGCCATTTTTTACTGTGTATATATTGTGATGCATGTCATGTATCATGAAAATGTCTTGAAGTATCGTGATACGGATAGATATATATTTTGCCATATCGTCCATCCCTAGTTTATCTGCATCTTTTCCCCCACCTAGGCAAGCACCCTACACTATACCAATGAGAGTCCTTGGGCAAGACTCCTAACACTACCTTCGCCTACCTGTGTAAAATGATCAAAATTTGTAAGTCGCTCTGGATAAGAGTATCTGCCAAATGCCATAAATGTAAATGTAAATCTATTCTAATGTTATATAATATTTTACACAGCTATTGCCAATATAAACAATGTGCTTGGGTGCCTTAGACTTTTACATATGATAAACATACAGGTATAGAACTGGACAGGCTGAGGGCTAAGCTGAAGTGCAAGAGTTGGAAACCGGAGACTGGAAATCTCTATAACTGGTTCAAGATTAACTGGCTGGTAGAAGTTAAGCATTTAATTTACCTACCAACAGAACCTACTGAACCACGACTGTGTTCAGCATAAGCTGGTAGTTTGCAGAATATGTGAGGAAGCCACACACAGTTCAGGAGGTTCAGCGTGAAAATGAAAGAGAGATGTCAATGATTGACACTGTTCAGCAAGGCCATCTGAGCTGCAAAGGCAAAATCACGCACGCACACAGTACATCTACTCATTTTCTCTTGGACCAAGACAGCGGAAACCAAAGCACACACACGCTCTCTCTGTCTATCTCCTGCTTTTTCCTAGCAGCTGGCCTACACGCTGCCAAGCCTCACTGGGCCAGGTGCTGTGCTCTTTCTCTCTCTACAGGCTGGTGAGAGCAGGATGGGGAGACGGGAAAAGAGGAAAGGGCTTCAGTTCTTTAGTAGTTGCTAGGATTGTCCCCTCTACTGTCTCCCCTCTAAGATACTGATAGTTGACCAACCGCAAGCATTTATTTCTTCAAGTATGTATTTACGTATCTCTGCAAATGGAAATTTGGACCATGCAGCTCGTGAGTCACCACATAATGTTGTACATAACATGCACATAACACATAACGGGTTTATGTTCATACATCAGCCGAAATTTGTAAAGCTGACTCTGCAAATAGAGTTTTGCTTACTGTGTGTGGAAAATAACCACAGTATATGGTTAAACCGACTTCACTAGCAACAATAAAGCTCTAACTCCCACACTATTACTGTTTGCTCCCGTGTCCTGTTCAGAGTTAGGAAGTGTCTAAAAATTACCAGAAGAAAAACTGTTGCTTGTGTCATTATTACCTCTGTAAGTACATCGACTGATGTTTCCAGAGAAATCACTGAGGATGCTGCCAGAAGCATTTCAGACATACTTAAAGAGATACTACTACTACTATGACTACTATTACTATGACTACTAATTCTAACACAGGGAAACCCTAAGGCCCTTCTAGATCTTCAGAGGGGGACTAATCATTTCTGGGAACTTAAATTAAATTTATCCTTACAATAATGTTTGTACCTCTGCAAGTATTACAGTACTATTCTTGCCTCATTGCTACATTTTGGATTGAAGCAAAAGGGTTAAATTCATGAAATGCCCAGTGGAAAACTGGCCAATCAGGAATGGTTTTTGTCTGTGGTATCTAAGTAGATATAACTAAGTGAGTCCTCCCATTGGTTAGGACTTGAACACGCTAGATTAATCATCGCCACAATCACAAAATCTCAGAGGAATCAACCAATTTGGATTTTCAGCAGGCGGGATCAATTCTGTGATTTCATATAAATCAGTGTTAGCTTAGTGCTAACAAACCACTTGAATCCCCTAGGGATGCTAGCAGAGATCAGCATTATTATAGAAGTGGGTTTTTCCTCATGTTTTGATCGAATTTTTATTATTTTTAGTTATGGCCCAAATTGAAGGCCTAGCTCTAACAGTCACAGTTCGGAATTGAATAATAAGAAGAAAAACCTTTTTTCCTTTCAGTAAAGTTCCTCATAAGGTTTCTAACTCCTAAAAGATGTGGTAGCAAGCACAGTGATATAGTGTGAGATGAAGCTTAATCGTTGTCCCACAGTTCAGCAAAAGCTGTGGTTATCGTATATTGTCATGAAAGACGGGTTTAGGCTGCTTTCCGCACCTCTGTTCACACGTGTGAATACTAGTGTCTTTCTGTTTTATACACGAAATAAATCCATAAATGAATGATGGTTTTTGTGAACCACGAGTGAATGAGCTTTTCCCATCACTTTGGCTGTTACAGTGGTAACTCAGTTAACCTTCGCTGGACACAGGCCTGGGTATGAACGGCCCTAGCGGTCTCTCAGCTCAGTGAGGATGGTGCAGGAGGTACCATGGATTCTTGTTGTAATAGAAACTTCTGTGCTGATACCACAAACCTGATTACCCACTTCCTCCTACAGTCTAACGCAACACCCATATTATTACTAGGTGTCTCTGTCTGTCTCTCTCTCTCTCTCTTTCTCTCTCTCTCTCTCTCTCTCTCTCTCTCTCTCCTGTCACTATCTGGTGTTGGCTGAATTCCACAGCACCATTAGCCTCTTACTGAACCCTTCACTCTCAACGCTGCAGAGACATGCTAGTGAAACTGGAATCTGCTGCAACCCTGCGCAAAGGTGTTTGCATGTTTGTGTGTTTCTGTGTCAGCGCCTGAAAGAGCGGCTCAGACTAAAGTTGATATTTAGGCTGAAGTTCATGTGGACGTTGACGTTCTCTTACCGTGGCTGTCATCTTGTCACTTTCCGCCATGATAGCGGAGGAGTACTTGTTGGATGGCATCACGCTTCTCAGTTGAATTTCCTTCCCTTTTCTTGTTCTCAAGCCTGTTAAAATAATAAGCATACATAAATAATACTAATAATAATAGAAAAATCTAATATTATAATAAACATTTAGAGCTGAAAGCTACTATTAGAGTCAAATGGCTCTAATCCTCAGACATAGCATAACCTTTATATGTGTAGAGTTGTTACTGTAATTTTGCAATACTATTTAGATGCAATTACAATGTAACAACGAATAATAAAGGCATAATTGTGTAATAAGCTATGTAATTAATTGATTACATAGTTCGTTATGTAATTATATGTATTCTTGATTTACTTTATGCATCTGTATCATCTAAATTTTCAACTTCCTTTTGTTTCAGTGTCAAACAACGACAAAAAAACATGGCAAAATGCTAAGAATGTTTCTTCTTTCCATAAAAGTTCTCCCCTATTTCAGTGAGCTATGAGTGATAAAAGACTAATATCTTTTTTAGAGCTTTGCATCACTTAGTTATTCTGATAAATGACATCACAGTAAGTCACAATATGCTTTTCTGACCATATGTGGATATTGTCAGTACTTAAAAATCACTTCCCAACTGCATGTTTGCTCCTGTTTGTTTGGATTGAAATGCTGAACGCAAGTAACTGATGTAATAACTGCGACTTCTAACAGTTAAGTCTAGTCCTGGAAAACTTTGGCAGATTTTCCACAGAAAACGCCTTTTCGTATCTATGTTTAGAAAACCTTTCGGCCCTGCAGATATTTCCACATCTGGCCGGTTAACAGACCGCTCAAAGCCACAAAGTCCTTCAAAGACAAACTGAGGGAAAAACTCACACAAACAAACAAAAACCAGACATTTCGATCTCAACCTGTTAGAATGTCCTTAGAACTAACACCACGTCCATCAGTGAGTGCTGGACTGCACCTGAGCCGTAAATGAGCAGACCCTCGGATTCACAGGTATGCAGAGGTCACCAAAGCTACTGACCTGAGAAGACATGTTTCTTCCCTAGGAATGTTAATGGTAATGATTTGCCCAGGCAAGGCCGCCCCTAGATCAGCCCATGCGTGACCTCTACCTGGAGACCATGTTATTTCAACAAGTAAACACTGCACCTAAAGGCGCCTACTTAAAATGTACATTATTCATGTCTTCTGTTGGCAGACAGGCCTCGTCTGGGCCGTCTACCAACTTCAGACATGAATAACAATTGACACGGTGAATGAAGTCTGTAAGTGAGTCGGGGTGGAGTTGCTAGGCCACCGCCCCGAATACCAATCACACTGCTTTGCCAATACAATAGATCTACCTGGCGATAAGGAGGGATTACTAATGATGGCTAAGATAAGCTGACAACAGACGCGAGAAACATCGCAGTGTAAACCACAGACTGCTAATGAACAAATGATGGGCAATTATTTTTGCAATTCAAATGAACAGATTTTAAAACTTAAAAGCATGCAAATAATAGCTGTATGCAAAAGTTTGGGCACCCCAATCAAATGTCATGTTCTGTGAAAAATAAAAAACTGAAAAATAAGTTCACACATCCTCTACAGAGAACACCCTTCTGTGCATTTCAACACACAACTACCATTTATTTGCTGAATTTAACATACTGGAAAATTATTAAAACATAGAATGTGGCCTGTGCAAAAGTCATGCCACATTTATATTTTAAGTCTAATTGTTTTTCCAGTATGTTAAACACAGCAAATATAAACTGTACACTACAATTTGCAGAAAAAAAATTATGTTTGTTGCCTGCAAAGATGTGTTAATGTTTTAACTTAGAAAAACAACAAAATGTTTAATAAAATGGCTCTACAATGAGACTCTTTACTGCAGAGATGGTACTGATCTCCTGCTGTCTGAACTGTGCTGAACCTCATCACTATATCACCTCTCCTGTTAATACACTGTGTAATATATCATAACTGCTACTGTAATGACACTTTCACTATGCACGTAATACTGCTGCATCTCCTAGTTAGTTATGTCTATACTCATTGTGCTTTTAGACTACCTCATACCACTCAGTGCCTGCTATCATGTAAATACAACAAATCTGTCTCATATGCTATGTAAATATGCAAATAGATATACTTTTATTTCTACTTTCCTATACTTTAACTTATGTCTATGTTTATTTCTATTTGGATTTTCTACATAGTTTATGTAAGTTTATGTGCAATTATATGTTATGCTACTGAAACACTGCAATTTCCCTTCAGGATCAATAAAGTTCTATCTATCTTTCTATTCGATGAGGGATATACAAACTCTCGGTTACAACTGAATTTAGATATATCAACAGGAATATATTTTAGATTGAATAAAACAAAAATAGAGAAAGTTTGACTTCTCTTTATTGTATGTGGCTTGTATAAGAGGTGACCAGTACTTGGTCATTTGGTTGATTTCATGCTTTTTCTTACTGTTTTAGGCGTGAGAGATTAAACATACTATCAGTTTAATCATCCACAGAACAACAAACAGGAGTCACAAATGTACACTGTGTTAATGTCTTTTTGTTTGAAACATTTACATAGCGTGTGGTTCTGTGTTGGGCTGGGTGACATGGCGAAAATGTCATTTAATCCCTTAAAATCCCAGACTTATTACATACCAAGGCTTATTATTCGGTAACTATAGGGACTTTAATGCAAACTAGCTGAGCTACTCTTATATAGAATATGTAATGAAACCTTGGGTCCACAGGTGGGCCCTGGCCATTTAAGGGGTTGATGAGGTTCAGTAAGTTGGAGCCGTACCACAGTTTTTTAATAATACAATCAATCATTAAAACAATCAGTGTAATTCAGCATTTAAGGTACAGCGCTGAACGTAATGAAATTAAACAGGACTGATTATTCTCGTTGTAATAACTATTAACAATATCCTCGATATGTTCAGGAAAGTACTGTGTTGTAATTTATGATGATAACGATAAACATTATCATATTGCGCAACTTCACTCTTTGTTGCACGCTCAATCAAAAACCAAAAAACAGTTTATTCCAAACTACACATGCTTTGTTCGAACACCTGATTACTAAGACTCAACAAATACTCACTAAATACTAACTAATGAATACTATGAGCTACTTTGAGTTCAGATATCTGTATGTCTGCGCCTGTCACTAAAATGAATGGCATTACGCTGTCTGCGACAGGATGTCAGATGAAACAGGGCCTGTTATTTCAAGAAAGACACGTCCGCCCGGCTGAGCGGCTGAGGTGCTGAAAGTTTTAGCTGGCATGCTACTGGGACTTGTCAAGATGAAGAAGTGCCAGAGCTGCAGAGCACAACAGAAAGGAGCAGCGCTTCTCTTTGTGTGTCTGGGCAAACAGGCGGGGGTCTGGGTGGGCAGAAAGCACGCGTGATTGGTGACTGTGTAGAACTTCAAACTCTTTTCACTCCTCTGCCTGTGACACGGTCAAAAGACAGATCGTTTATGAGCTTCATTCAATTATGCTGCATATTTCCATTTGAGTAAATATGGTAGAGTTACCGTATGTACTCAACATAATACATGATTGGAATTATGTTGAATTAATGTCAACATATTTTAGTTTGTAAGTCAGAAGAAATGTTATATATACACACAGCTACCTTAACAAACCCCCTATACCCTGCCAAAACACAGGACACAAAGCAACCAGGTGCTTTCTGTAAATAAACGCAATGTAAACATTAACCACTCGCACAAACATACATATAGAGCATAGTCTAAACAGCTGGATCTCATTACATGAGTTATAGTGTTTAAGAATTCTTTATGTAGATGCATAAACACACGTGAACTAAGCTTGGACGATTTAGATAAATCGTTTCCAGAGATTTTGGGACGAACGTTGTAATCCGCATTTAGTTATGAAGTACCACAAGTGAGCATTACAGCATATAACCTTATAGCATGAATTTTCTCTGCAGGTAATATAGTTGCCAGACCTGGCCATTATGAGAATATTTATCACTATCGTGATACATTACATCACAGTAAGTCACAATACACTCTCAGAAATAAAGGTACTAAACTATCACTGGGGCAGTACCCCTCTTGTCACTGGGGTGGCCCCCTCAAGGGTACATCTCAGTACCTTTAGTCAGGGAACATAACTGAACCACAATCCACTGAAAGTATATTTTCTAAGTTGTACTGACTCCACACACCCCGTCTTCTGTTTTAAAACATTCGGTTAGGAAAAGGTACAAATCCGAACTTTTCACCTGGAAAAACTTATTTAAGGTTCACAATCGGACCTTAAAACCACTGTTGTACCCTTGAGGGAACATTTACATTGTTTGTACCTTGATAAACGAAAAATGTACCTGCACAGAACCTTAATTTCTAACAGTGTATGCTTTTCTGAGCATGTCGTGGATATCTTCAGTACTTAAAAATCACTTCCCAACTTCATGTTTGATTAAAAAGAGATTACTATTAGTTTAATTGGATTTAATGCAGCAGCGTGTGAAATGTTGAATAAACGTAATCGGATTACTATTTTTAAAATGTGGAATTATTTTGTCAATTCTAACTTATCAGATGTCAGAAAAAATAAAAATGACGCACTGTGTATCGTAAAAAACTTCCTGAAATATTGTGATATTACACTTTGCCAGATCTCCTAGCTACAATAATTACCATGTAATTACCTTTGCTAGCTTGTAATATTGCTTAATAATTTGCAATGTGTACTGTATTCTTCCCAGGCGACACTTAACACCATTAACCACATGAACCCGACGGACCTGACTCATTTAAATATGCCACCAGAGGAGTTATGTCATGTGTGCGTTGCCGCTGGCAACAGTAATATTGTTTTATCAATTTCAGCATAGAGCTGGACTTTTGCACCACAGCGCACACACACACACTCACACACACACACACACACACACATACACACACACACACACATACACACACACACTCACACGCTCCTCGGCCCACAGCGAGAGAGCATCTGTGAAGGTGAATGAGTGAATGTGAGAATACAAAGAGAGGCCACATCAAAGGTGGAAGCCTGAGTGACAGAGATTAGGGGCTGAACCTAAAAAGAGGGGGCTTTCTGTGAATGCAGCGTGTGTGTCTGTGTGTGTGCGCGCATGTATAATCACGTGTAGGTGTGTGTGGGTGTAAGAAGAAAGGTATAAAAAATTAGAGAGGCCGGCATCTCCTACAACAACCAGGAATATCTAAGAAATGAGAGCTCATTCAAGGAAAACTGAAAACCTGCATTGAAAGGTGTTCAAGCTTCATCTCACAGAACTGAGAATGGTACACTGCTGGGAGGTTTTGCACAGATTCTTCTAATGTTATACTTTCAAACCTTATGAAATGAGTTGAAATGATCTAAATGCCTGAATTTAATATAAGCAGCATCTGGCTTTGTTTACACTCGTGTAAAAGCTTTCAGAAAACTTCCAGAAATCTCCGGGTATAATCTTTTGCAACTTGGGCTGATCACAGAAAGGCCTCATAACCTGAATGTCAACATGGAGACAGCAAGAAGAAAACAGGAAGATACTAAATATGCGCTTAAAGGTGAAGTCCCCGAGTACCATTTCTTAAGAAGTGCTCTCAGCACCTGGCCAACAGCCACCGTGCAAAAGCCGTAATTCCCCAGCCCCCCCATACTGTCACATGAAATTTCATTTAGGCTTAGTTTTTGTTAAATAGATGGAAATTCAATCTACTTTTTTAGAAATCTGCATAATTCAAGCATTGGGATGCACACAAAGCCTTTCAGTGCTCCTGGCTACACTTTAGAGAAACTTACCGCCTGATCTTCTTTACAATGGTGGTGAAAGGAACCAGAGGTCACAACGTCTACAATGCAAATTCTGCCATTTTATTTGCTACCTAAAATGACCAGTGAAGCTACACGTCTTCTGAGTTTTTATCTTTAACCCTGATCAAGGTAAAATAGTGGTAAATCCAACAAAGCATGCTTTCTCTGGGGAATTAAATGGCCTTAAATGGCCAAAGCCCACCGACGGGCACAAAGTTTTACTACACACTTCTATAATCCAAGGATAGCTCAACCAGTTTGCATTGAAGTCTCTGTAGTTACAGAATAAAAAGCTTTAGTATGTAATAAGCCTTGGATTGTAAGTGGTTAAAATCCATTTATGGTGGAGAAGTACACACAGGGCATTATAAGGGAAAGCTAAAAACAGGTTTTGGGCCAAGACCTCTCAAAAATATTGTAAAAAAGTGTCCATATTTCTGTAAGAGAGCTTTGGGAGGCATTAAAAGCTTCTGGTTCCTTCCACCACCACTGTAAACAGACTCATTAAGTATTCTGACCTCTCTAGAATGATGCATATTCCACCAGACCACTCTGAATGACTGTTTACATCTTAACAGATTTTGAAAAAAAAGAGGAATCCCCCTTTTACAGTAAAAACTAAGAGTGCGCTACCCCCACGTTGCCCCAAATGTTCAAAGAATCGAGCGCCCGGCTCACTGACTCACAAGTCAAGTTCAGCTTCTCTGATTCGGTTCAGTGAGGGAGTCTGATGTCGCAGACTCGGAATGCACGAGGCACAAAGAGGAGGCCAGCTAGAGCGGGTCTACACAGAAGACTTCAGCCTATGGACGTAAACGTGACAAGTTACACTTAGTTTCCATTTTGATCGGATCATCGAGAAGAATTGGTTCAAAAAAGCAATTCACGATTCGGGACCAGCGCTGCGCGTGAGCAGCAGACCAGTGCAAAGCTTTTACATGGATTTAAACTTTAACCTGTTGTTGTTTTTTTTTTTGGTTTGGTCAGATGATGACGGGTGTTTACAGATTAAACTGCTTATCTACATCGATACACAGGCTAAATGAATAAAAACACAGCATAAATATAGTCGTTATTTTAAGTGAAAAATGTTGCTTTTTAGCTCTGTTTTGCCTCTGAATTGCGCTGTAACCGGTCACCTGTCCATAGTTACTGTGATAAGCCTGCCAGCCGTGTAAATGCACTGATTTAAAGCAGGATAATAACTACATGCTGTAGCACGCGCTTCCTTTTGCGCCCCATTAAGAAACGTATCGACACACACTCGTGCTGGAAGAGTATTGAGCCCCTACGGTGACATAGTGATTATTTTTAATAATGCATGGCCATAAATTAATATATCCAGGCTACCTGATACCATATCGAGGCCACGAATCGCTATATTGAAGCCACAAGTCACGATATTGAGGCATAATGTATTATATTGAGGCCCAATTAACTACATGGATGCTACAATTCAATATACTGAGGCCATGAATTACAATTTCGAGGCCACAAATTACCATATTGAGACCACGAATCACTGTACTGAAGCCACAAATTACAACAGTGAGGCACAATTTATTATATTAAGGCCCGATGTACTAAATTGAGGCCACAATTCAATATACCGGGGCCACAAATTGCTATTTCGAGGCTACAAATTACTGTATTGAGGCCACGAATCACTGTACTGAAGCCACAAATTACGATATTGAGGCACAATTTATTATATTGAGGCCCAATGTACTACATTGAGGCCACAATTCACTATACTGAGGCCATGAATTACTATTTTAAGGCCACGAATTACTATATTGAGGCCACGAATCACTGTACTGAAGCCACAAATTACAACATTGAGGCACAATTTATTATATTGAGGCCAAATGTACTATACTGAGGCCCAATTCAATATACCAAGGCCACTAATTACTATTTCGAGGCCACAAATTACTGTACTGAGGCCACGAATCACTGTACTGAAGCCACAAATTACGATACTGAGGCACAATTTATTATTTTGAGGCCCAATGTACTACATTGAGACCACAATTCACAATAACGAAGCCATGAATTACTATTTTAAGGCCACGAAATACTATATTGAGGCCACGAATTCATATATTAAGGTCACAAATTACTACATTGTGGCCACAAAATCATACTGAGGTCACGATTTATGAGAAACCTCAATACATTAATCCGAGGATTGAATATAGTAATTCACGGGCACGCCTTATTAAAAACAATCACAATGTCACCTTAGGGTCTCCGTAAGCTCGCGCGGCGCTAGCACGCGGTCCAAAGTCGAGCAGAAACTCGCACAAGTAATTACACTTTGCCCTCGCGAGGACCAGCGTTCCTGAACCACAACATGTCCGTGTGGGGGGGCGGGCTGCACATGGAGCGCCCCTCAAACACCCTCAGAGTTTAGTGAGACATCTGGGTCAAGCCGAAACCGCCGGAATCGCATCTGCCGTGCACTTTCACTGCACTCCGCACTCTCGACAAAGCAGAAAACATACCTTTAGTGAAAGTCTGTAGAAGTCACCCCGCTCCTCTCCGCGCATGTCGCCTAGATACTCGCAGTCGAGGCTTTTGGTGCGACCTTAATGGGGCTCTCACTGCGAGAGTTCCGCAGCTTTTCTACAGTGTTGCAACTTTTAGCGCAAAGGCAAGTTAGAAGGCGCGAGGACAGGCAGGTAAGGAGCGAGCCTTCAGAAACGCGTGGGGTCTCGCGTGCCCTCGAGCTGCTCTCTCCCGGAGCGCGCGCTGTGCAGCAGCAGCAGCGGTAGAGGAGCAGGAGCAGGAGCAGGAGGAGGAGTTCGAGCCAAACTTACCTGTTTGTGCGGAGTTCGGGTGGAAAAAACAGACGAGCCGGACCGAGACGGACGACTTCTTTCTCGCTAGTCCGAAGGTGTCCGAGGTGTCGCGCCGAGTCACACTCTGCTTCGCTCTCAGCCACGCATATAAGCCCCTGGGGGGGAATATGGAAATGGGCTTGTCGCTCTCAGGCTCAATCCGCGCGCTCCGGCGCCTCGGTAGTCAGGCGTGACTTTTCCCGGGTCTCGAATCGCGCCCTCTATGAATGAACACTACATTTACCTTCTCTCGTTTAACCCCTTCTTTCTGCTGACTGTTCTTCCCTTGGAAGGAAACACCTGTGAGGAAGTGCCTGTTCTGCACGTGCAGATGAAGTCAGACCCACGCTAAGCGCTGCTCTGCATGCTTTAATTGGGTATGAATTATGGGGAAGTTTACTGTGCAGAAAAGATGACCACTAGACCCACAGGTCACCCACTCTCAGCTGTATTTAGTGTAAGAAGAATGCATGTAATGTGAAACAAAGTTATTAGTTAACATATTTGACACTAACAGAACTGGTTCAGGTATTCTGGGGCTGGACGTAATAGAGAACAAGAATAAGAGCCTCTTGTTTATTCCAGTTTCAGCTGTTGCTTAAATGGGCTAATTACATTTTTAAAAAGTAATTTTAAACTAGAAAAAGTATTCCTGTATAATACACTGTCCATATTACTATATAACACACTGTACCATATCACCATATAACACTGTACTATATTACATATAACACATTGAACTATATTACCATATTACACATTGTACCATATTACCATATTACACACTGGGCTTTATTACCATATTATGCACTGTACTATATTACCATATAACACAATGTACTTTATTACCATATTACACCAAGTACCATATAAAACACCGTACCACACAATATTACACACTGTACCATAATGCCAAAACCTGTACCAAATTGACATATTACACACTGTTCCAGATAAATCGCTGTACCATAATACTGTATAAAACACTGTACCACATTACCATATTAACCACTGTACCATATAACCATATTAACCACTGTACCATATTACTATATAAAATACTGTACCATATTACTATATAAGTCACTGTACCATATTACCATATAAAGCACTGTACCATATTACTATATAAGTCACTGTGCCATATTACCATATAAGGCACTGTACCATACTACTATATAAGTCACTGTACCACATTACCATATTAACCACTATAACATATTACTATATAAGTCACTGTACCATATTACCATATAAAGCACTGTAACATATTACTATATAAGTCACTGTACCATATTACCATATAAGGCACTGTACCATACTACTATATGTCACTGTACCACATTACCATATTAACCACTATAACATATTACTATATAAGTCACTGTACCATATTACCATATAAAGCACTGTACCATATTACTATATAAGTCACTGTACCATATTACCATATAAAGCACTGTACCATATTACTATATAAGTCACTGTACCATATTACCATATAAAGCACTGTACCATATTACTATATAAGTCACTGTACCACATTACCATGTTAACCACTGTAACATATTACTATATAAGTCACTGTACCATATTACCATATAAAGCACTGTACCATATTACTATATAAGTCACTGTACCACATTACCATATTAACCACTGTAACATATTACTATATAAGTCACTGTACCATATTACCATATAAAGCACTGTACCATATTACTATATAAGTCACTGTGCCATATTACCATATTAACCACTGTAACATATTACCATATAAAGCACTGTACCATATTACCATATTAACCACTATAACATATTACTATATAAGTCACTGTACCATATTACCATATAAAGCACTGTACCATATTACTATATAAGTCACTGTGCCATATTACCATATAAGGCACTGTACCATACTACTATATGTCACTGTACCACATTACCATATTAACCACTATAACATATTACTATATAAGTCACTGTACCATATTACCATATAAAGCACTGTACCATATTACTATATAAGTCACTGTACCATATTACCATATAAAGCACTGTACCATATTACTATATAAGTCACTGTGCCATATTACCATATTAACCACTGTAACATATTACTATATAAGTCACTGTACCATATTACCATATAAAGCACTGTACCATATTACTATATAAGTCACTGTGCCATATTACCATATTAACCACTGTAACATATTACTATATAAGTCACTGTACCATATTACCATATAAAGCAGTGTACCATATTACTATATAAGTCACTGTACCACATTACCATATTAACCACTGTAACATATTACCATATTTACCACCATGTGACTACGCAAATACTGCAAGTAAGGGACAAGGGATGTGTCTTTTTATGGAATGTAAGTGAATTATCCACTATTGTCATCATATCCTCATCAAGTAGACCCAAAGACTGAGCGGGAACTTCGCGACCCAGAAGGATAAGCGGCTTAGAAAGTGTGTGTGTGTGTGTGTGTGTGCGTGTTCTTTAGACATTGATTATATAGACCCAGAAACACCCAGAAAGACTATTTGCATACTTGAATGGTTCTGTGCATGGTGAGATCATATTGACGGAGAATGTGATGTATATGGTTCTTTATAGAACCTTTTTAAAAGTGGTTCTATTTAGCACCAAAAAGGGTTCTGCTATTGTTACAGTGTCAAGCTTGTAACAAAACAAATTCTCCGTCAGTACGGTGCCCTGCTGTTGACATCCTGTATAAATAAAAATAATGCGTGGCCACAACTTAGTAAGGTGTGGGAACAAGATAATTAAGTCAGGGCCATGACTTAGTAAGGTGTGGGAACGACATCTTAATGCATGGCCACAACTTAGTCAGGCGTGGGAACGAGACCCTAATGCATGGCCACGACTTAGTAAGGCATGGGAACGAGACCCTAATGCATGGCCACAACTTAGTAAGGTGTGGGAACGAGATCCTAATGCATGGCCACGATTTAATAAGGCACGATCTCATCCCCACGCCTTACTAAGTCGTCGCCACGCATTGGGATCTCGTTTCCACGTGTTAATAAGACGTGGCCATGCATTATTTTTTATTTATGTGGGATGTCACCAGCAGGGCTCTGTACTACAGAACTATTTCACCATGCAAATAGTTCTTTGGGTGTTCAGGGTTCTGTATAAAACCACTGTCTTTACTAAAGAACCACCTCTTGAGAAATAACCACATTACTCAGTGTACAACAGTGCTATATAACACAGTGCGCCTTCATCACCATACTGTGTGCTTCTTTAGGCTAACGATTCATAGCACCTAAATTCATATTCCAAGCTACTCATCCACAAATACACTCATCAAAATATATATTAATACTGTTCATTTCCACTGGAGCGTCTTAAACCTCTGCTAGTAAATAAAGCTCCGCCAGGTCAAACCACACAGCGTCTGTCGAAAGTTCTGAAATGAATCCGGCGGCTGGGGCGGAAGTCCTGCAGCAGATGTGAGTCAGTGTCCAGGAGCTGCGCGGCTAACCGAGGAGATAATGTTGCAGCTACATTTCACTAAAGACACGCTGCCGGACAGTGTGAGCAACGACTTTCAAACCCTGAATAAGTTCAGCGAGCAGGTAAGGATTCCTTATCCGCAAAAGCCAAACGAATGAATGTATTTATTTCTGGTTTTAGGTTGTAGTTTAGCTGAATGCTAAGCCACTAGCTGTTAGCCTCTGTGTTGACATGTTTATCTCTCCGTCTTTCCAGCCAGTGCGGCTTCCAGACACTTGTTGTATGAATTTCTTATTGTTTAATGCATTTTAAATGTGTATTACATTACACTTCGCAGACTGAAAGTGTGTTCTCAAGAGCTACAGGCTGATAAACACAACAGCGACGAGGCTGCCAGGCTACGTGCTAAACGGTGGTCGAGTGGTCATTAATTTCAGCTCATTTCCTATTATTTCATTTAAAAGTCTACAAATGAAGCATTATAGATGGAAGTTACACACTTCTGCAGCCTTCCGTTAAGTTTAAAATACAATTTTCTGATATCAAGAATCTGTTGAAGGGGAATTCCACAAAAGTGGTGAACAACTAGGTCATGAGATGTGAACTGAGTCATTCAGAGTGGTTTGATATGAAGTGGTTCGTCGTGAAAAGACTTTGATTTCTTAACAGAGGAACCAGGAGTTGACATGTCTACAACACAAATATAGCCATTTTATTTACTATCCAGAATCACTAATGCAGCCACGCTTGTCTTTTGAGTTTTCATGTCTAATGTTGATGATGGTAAAATAGTCATAAATCTGAAAAATGAAGTTTTCTTTGGGGACTGTTTTGCCTCACAACACCCAGCCTATGCCCCTCTGCCATGAGTGGATTAAAATAAATGGATTAAAAGATATTTTATCATAAAACAACGTGTCCGGCATCAAGCAGCATACCTCTTAACAGTTTCATGTACTAGCCTAGCTTTCTCTGAAGGAACTTTCAGAGGCAGTAAACGCTTCAGACGTCTGGTTCCTATTACCACTGTGAACAATTCTGTCTCAGCACGTTTCTCTAGAACTGAGCATTTCAAATCAAACCCCTCTGAATGATTTTGTTTGCATCTCAACCATTTAATCATGCGGAAAATTTAAAAAATTGATCGGGTTCCCCTTCAGGAAAATACTGTTAGATTTGAAGAGCGTAGGTCTATTTCCAAAGCTTGATTTCCGAAGCTGCTTCAGATTTGTGCATGTTCAGCAGATGAGCAAAACAGGCAGGACTGTGTCCAAAACTGCTTTTTGCCTTCACTGCTGTTTGATTAAGCAGCATAATCAGTTGTTTACAAGTAGCCGACACTCATCATAACACAATGCATACTCCTGCTAAGTAAGATGGATAAGTAAGGGACACTGTAAGCTCTAAAAAGTGGAAGTATCTTCTTCTTTATCAGCTTCTGTTGTTATAAAGCCTAAGTAGGCTTTTGTGCTTTTCAGAAGCAACCGCAGAAGTGCTTCTGACTCAAAATCCCAAGAATCTGCTCAGTCAAAATACGTGGTCAAAATACATGGTTATTTGCTTGTACTGCAGGCAGATTATGCTCATATCTATCAAATCTATGTTGGCTTTAGCTCCCATTAATCATTTATAGCCATATCTAGATGCTG